GGAAATAGAAGCCGATATGAAAAGGATGAATAACAACTGGAAAGGAAGGCTCAGGACAGAGTTGGATGGAGAATGCTGGTGAGCGGCCTATGCTCCTCGACGAGGGGTAACAGGCGTAAGTAAGTAAGTAAGTAAGTAATTTCAGAAGCTGTTATTGGTGTTCTGAACTTGAAACGACTGGGCTTGATACTTATGCTGATGTCATTGAATAGCTATCTGTTATTATTTTAGAAATTGGAACTGTAATTTTCCAATATAATTTATTGCTTTCAATTATTTTCACTTGGGGAAAGATTAAAGACATAATGAAAATTTTTTTGATATGCTTATGTTATTGTTTATCAATCACACGTGATAGACAAATTCTCAAAGAATTGGAAACTTTCACGTATTCTTATAGTTGAAAAACATATGGAACTCGAAACAACTGTTAACCAATATCAAAATTACAAACTTCAATACGAATATTAAGACAGTCCTATTACACGGAAGTGAAACTTCGATAACTACCACAACCATCATCAAAATGGTACAAGTAGTTATAGAGAATTGTCTACTCAAGATAATAAATGTCCGTTGAACATATACCATCAGTAAGAATCTACTGTGAGAGAGAACAAACCAGATTCTAATTGAAGAGGAAATTAATTCGTCGAAGATGGATTCAGCATACATTATGGCAATCACCGAAATGCATCGTGAGACAAACTCTCACTTGAAATCCTTAAGGGAAATGGGAATGAAGAAGGTTAAAGAATTGGAAGCAGACATGAAAAGAATTAGTAATGGCTTGAAATAACTGGAAGGGATTACTCAGGACAGGCTTCGACCTAGAATTCTGGTAGTTGGCCTATACTCCTCTATGAGCCTTAACAGATGTGAGTAAGTAAGTGACTGAATAATCAATGGATTACGATTCTCTTCAAGCTCCGGTTAACTCTATCTGCAACTAGAGTTAGTATCAATATATGGAATTAAGAAAACAATGATTAGCATATGATCTAGAAAGTGAACAGATATCGGCTGACGGACCTGGAAAACGATCAACAATAGGTTGTACATGGCTATTCTAAGCTGCTTATGTTCAAAGTTTGTTAGCAGAGATCACAGATAATCTACTTTGTGCATGACGAACCACTTAATTACAACAATACTAATACTCAGTAGTTTTGAATTTCTGCTTACGAAGGACTGATTGAGTTAAATATAAGCAATTTCAGATATCAGGATACCTTGTGTGTTATAAATTGAAAGTGATATGTATAGAAATATATATCTATGAGCATATAAATATCTTAAAAAACGTTATCAGTATTTTCTAAAATAAAATTTATAATGGTTGAATTAATGAGTCAGTCTAAACTAAACCACCATTGAAATTCTGAGAGCACTGGACGGTCGTTTCGTCACAGTATGAGACTTCTCAGCAGTGCGCGTTCACGACCCCGCATGCGGTTTATCAATTTTGAACTTTCAAGTTTTGCATGTGAACACTTAACCTCTAGACCACTGAGTTAGTATCCAACGATGTTGATGTCTTAGACTGATTCGTGAATTTAAATTTCAAAATACTACAATCTTCACAAATGCACACTCTGATAATAACCATGTGCTCATTAGTGACTAGCTTCAAATTGGAATTTTAGCAGTTCCTCGGATAATTTGACAAACATGTTATCTAAAAACCAATAAGCTAGCATTTAGTGATCCTAATTTTGTACATCTATTGACTACACAATTCCTTAATGGTACATGACCATATCCCATACTAGAATTAATTATTGACTTATTACTCCTCGTTTCTTAGTCTTTATCGACCTAAGTTCAGTCCTTGAAGTTATCTAGCTATCAAATGAACAAACCTTATAAACCTCTCATTATAAAAATCTAAGTACTAGGTAACCTAAGTAAAATTTATTTTGTATTGGGAATTCAACATTTGGTATCCTCTTCATTATGCATAAGGTTATGATTCCAAAGGTAACTTCTAAAGGTAACTACATTACAATACATTTCAATATCTCACAACATATATGTAATCTATTTTTTTTTACTTTTGTTAAATTACAAGAATATAACTTAAACTAGCGTTACTTAATAGAAGCTTTGTTAGGAGTTTTACATTAGTATAATTCTCAAAACGTTCATACACCAATAAATGGTTCATTCAATTGTTTTCATTAAAATTATATTTATAATTTAAATGGAAAATATTTATTTTTTAATAGTTGAGATCATGAGTCAATTGAAGCTAGACCATCATAGGAAACCTAAAAGCACTGAACAGCCGTTTCATTACAGAGTGGGACTCCTCAGCAGTGTGTATCCACGATCCCACCTTGTGAGATTCGAATCCAGGACCTATCAGTTTCGCGCGCTAGCTCTTAACCTCTAGACCACTGAGCCGTACGACATCAAACGATATTAATGTCTGACTTCAACTAATCCATGAAATTGAGCGATACATTCAGCATTGTCTTCAATGAGTTACTATCTCACAACAGACCTGGTTGAACTCCACTGGTTTCTAATTCTCACTAGAACTCCAGGAATATGCCTCTTTCTACTTGATAAACAACAGTGGATTGGTCGAGGTTGGACATTAATACCGTTGGATGCTGGCCTACTAATCTATTGGTTAAGTGCTCTGGCGCGAGACTTGGAGGTTCTAGGTTCGAATCTCGTGAGGTCGGATCATGGATGATCACTACCGAGGAGTCCCACAATAAGACAAAACGGCAGTCCAGTGTTTCTAAGTATTCCATGGTAATTTAGCTTAGATTTCAACTATATAAAATTACTAAAGTCTCCAAAACACCCCCTTCTAGTAATGACATAATTTATCAGAATTATTTTTTTGTTTTTGTTTTTTTCATTGTTCACTTGTATCTAACCGTGTAATATATCAAAATAATTGTTACAACATCTCTCTACCCAAAAAAAAAACAAAATAAATGGTGTCGTTTCATTATTTACTTGGTAACTAACATTGGTATACAACATTGTCAACCATTTCACACTTGTTTGTTAATGTGTTTGTAATGGGTTTTTTTTCTTTACATGTTTACCTTATCATTTCATTGTATATTTACTATCAATAATATAAACAATAATATACACATATAATGAATGTTCTATTTAAACAAGCATACAGATAAGGGAAAAACAGGTTCTGAAGTGAATGGTTCTTGGAAAAAACAACATATTACTTGAATGGTAGTTGTAAGTGTCAGTAATAAGGATGACATAGTATGTTTACATTAGGGAATTAAACTATTGTATTTGAATTGTTATTAACAGTAGAATTTATGTTATTTATCTTATGTAATGCCTTCAAATGCCGTGGTACGGTTGAGAGTGGGAAGAAACAGTTCTCACTCTCTTCAAATGCTCTGACATAACCATGTGCATACAATCATCAATAGGGAAGTCTTACTCACTGCCTTCTCGTGGTGGTGGTGGTGGTGTTGTTTACAAAATTGAGAGGACGAAAAGTGAATGTCCAGTGCTTTAATCGGGTTGGTGGATATGGAGGACCCACCTAGAAGATTTGGAAAACCTAGATTCTAAACTGAATGGTTCACATAGGCTCCAGGATCATGAGAGGAAATTGGCGTAAGAGCCAATTGTTGGTTATCGGCTTCCATAGTACTACATCTGCTGACGTCGCCCCACTGCCTTGTGGACCAGACCTTAAACATTCGACGACCGTCTCGTCACAGTGTGGGACTCCTCATCAGTGCGCATGCACCAATCGGCCTTCCGAGTTTTGAATGCAGGACCTATCGGTCTCGCTCGTGAACACTTAACCTCTAGAACCACTAATCAGGCATCTAACGGTGTTAATGTCTAACTTCAACCGATCCACGAAATTGAGCGACACATCCACCATTGCGTTCAGTGAGTAACCATCTCATACCAGACCGGGTTGAACTCCGCTGGTCATTACTTCTCACTAGATTTGCAGGAAATACCTGTTGAAGTCAGTCACTAAAGAGCATATGTTGAATAATATCAGATGGGGTTTTGTGGATATTATAATAATTCGCATATGCTCCTCTGGAATATTCATAAATTGTTTTATAAGCAATCTTCCGTATAGTGACCATGTTTGAAAATGTTCACAATACGGATAAATTATAACTAAATATCCATCTAGGAGGAATAGAGAGACTTTTTATCTTACAGTGCAGCTAAGCACCAATGACTGATAACAATTCCATTAAGGATCACTCACCATCCAAAATATAATCGCATATTCACTGATGACTTTAATCATAACTTACATCTTAACTTTTTATATTCTACGAAATTCACTTACGTCGTGAACTATTGCTAATACGTATAATGAAATGCAACCTCAGTGACTCAAATAATGAACTATTCTCCACTAATACTGAAAATTCATATGTGAACACCAATCTGTGGTTACATAACAACACAAAGCAAATATCTATTGCTCCCTAATTCAAAATGATACCATGACTAAAAACTAATTATTGCATAAATCCACCTAAACAGGATATACTCATCGGTACTGTTACCATGGTAATTTATTATTTCACGTGATGCTTAAATACTTCTTCTTTCAAAGTTGAAATCATGAGTCAATTGAAGCTAGAACACCATCGAAAACCTGGAAGCACTGAACGGCCGTTTCGTCCTATTATGGGACTCCTCAGCAGTCCGCATCCACGAACCCGCACGGAGTCCCATAATAGGATGAAACGGCCTTCAACTTTGAAATATACTGAAATCTCCACAAATCCCCTTCTGACTTCTTTCATTTATATTCATAACTAATAAGAAATATAAATCATATTTGTCATAAACTGAGTTGGTGTTGTTTTGTTGTTTTTTTTTAATTATTTTTTATTTGTAAACCTGACTTATACTAAAATGATTACCATTTTATTCCAAATTTCATTTTGATTGGTCAACAATAATTAACCAATCATAATTTGTTGATTACTTTAAAAATTGAGGAAAAAAAAAAGATGTTCCCAATATGGTTCCTAATATGGATCTTTTTTAAATTATTGAAATATGTTGTTAGGATATATAAAATCGAAATTTTACAAATAAAGTACATCAATGTTACATACCTTTCTTTTTCAAATCAAGGAATACACTTTGTATTACTATTCAACCTGATTAGATACAAAAAAAAACAGTAAACAACATTAAGGAAGTACTCCTATATTGACAACTATTCATCTATCAATGAATCACCATGTATACTATATAGTAACTATTCAATGTTATTCATAAAACCATCATAATATTCAATTGATTTCTTATATAATATAAACTAGTTAGAGATTAATAGAATGGATATTAGCTAAAAGGAAAAAAAACGAAATCTATAAATTATGCCACAAAGAAAAGGATTATTAGCTCCACAAAATACATTTCTTGATACGATTGCAACACGATTCGATGGAACACGTAAGTTATCTACAACAACAACAACAAAAAGACTTAATGTTTAATTGTATATTTATTTGTCTTATTGTGGTGTATTCTACTGGTGTTGGTAGATATAAGTAGTATTGTAGTGACGTGCATTTCTCGACGAGAACATGATTGGAATAATGAAAACATTTATTATTATAACCAATGGTACCAGTGATTGTTTTATCGTACTCGTTGTTGTTTAACTGTATCAAAGTCAATGCTTCTTCCGCTATCCTTCTTGTTTGGTTCGAACTTTCTTACGCTTCGCTCTTATTGCCTTTACTCATTGGTACATCTCGATATTCTTTCGATAGCACGAGATCGCCAATAAATATACTTTATCTGGACTAGTTAAAGCCTTCTGGTTTGTGAGTTATCGTAGGGACCAAATCGCTTTTTGGGGGCATAATCTTATTGTAGTGGTGATCATAGTCAATCGAGACTGGAAGCCATCTACAGTATATACTCTCAATTGAAAGTGCAATATATATGGTGGTAAAAGGTTAAGATGATCGTAGAGAACAGAATGTCAGCAATAGTCAACTGTTTTATATATGAACTAAATTTCAATAGTTGAATTCATGATTCGATATAAGCTAGACCATTAATGAAAACCTGGAATTACTAGACGGTCGTTAGGTGCTAGCATGGTACTCCTCATCAGTGATCATCTACTATTCTGAATGTAGGATTCGAACTCCACAATCTTCGGTCGGGTGTCTGAACTCTTAACCTCTATACCATCGAGCCGTCATTCAACTGTGTTATTGTCTAACTTCCCCAAATCCACCATATTGTATGACCGTCCACCATTGTCTTTAGTGAGTAACTGCCTCTACAACAGACACAGTTGAGCTCCACTCTTCATGACTTCTCGTGGATTGGTTGACGTTAAAGAAGAACACCTATGGATGGCGAACCAGGGGTTTACAGATCAAGTGTTCGCCTGCGAAACTGAAGAGCCTGGGTTTGGATTCCGCGTTAGGGATTGTGGGGACTTACTGCTGTGGAGTCTCATACTGGAACGAAATGGCCGTCCACAAGGTTCCAGGTTTTCCATGGTGTTCTAGCTCTAATTGACTAATGAAATCAATAAAATTAATTCCGAATAATATATATATAAGTGAATTCATCAGAAAGTATAATTTGTTTATTTCATTATCTATAACGTCTCTATGATTAATAGTTTTAAACACTTTCAATGTGTTTGCATTCATTATCTTAATATTCTGAGATGTTCCGCTTTTTTGCAAAAAGAAAGTTGAACAATTTTCACTTACAGAAATTACTTTTCTTTAAAATTTTTAAATTAATATTTCAACTTTCAACATGTGAACATTCGTTTTAATGAAATGAATACGTACTATTTTCAAGTCGTAGGATAATTTATCTAGTTAAGTCATTACTTTCACTTGATATTGTTTATTTGAATCTTTCCAGTGATGTTTAAGACTGTAATTTAATCAGTCTCTTATTGGTATATGTGGATAATATGAGTATTAGATTGATATTGTCCAAAAATTTACAAGCTTTACAAACAAAAATGATTAGTGGCCAATAGTGGGATCTAAGACACGCGTTTCGTCTTATATGAGACTTATCAGTTGGATGTACCTTCATTTCAGATCTGATGTTCATACCGAACAAAATGCGCTTGCTGAATTCTGCTACTAACCACTATCCATCTTTCCTTAATTAATCATTACTGTTTATCATTATCATTTTTTTCATAATAATATTATTACCCATGATCATTCCTTAATTTCCCCTTTTGATGTAATTACTTTAAGAAAAGTGTACAAAATTTCGCTGTAAAACTTACAAAATGCCTGATCAGAGATATCGTGGTTGCTGGCAGGCAATATGCAGTGAAAAGAATGTACATTATTCAGATGTAGATTAACTAGATTGCTTATTTCTAACTGGTGATCATTCAATATTTGTCGTTAGGATCGACGAAGAAGTAAGAAACGGAAACTTGTTAAAATACTTTATACTGAAGATTCTATATTGTATCAAAAATATAGTATTGAATAAAGCTAATAATAATAATCGTAGACGTCCAATGACTGACATGATGAAATCTTCTGGTCTGTTAATTGATTCTATTTACCATTCAAGGATGTTTATTCAGTGTTCATTGACGGCATACTGTATTATTATTATTATTATTATTATTATTATTAGTGGCTTTATTCAATATTATATTTTTGAGGTACATTATAGAATTCTCAGCATATTGTATTTTAACAAGTTTCCGTTTCTCACTTCTTCGTCGATCCTGATGATAATTAGTGAGTGATCACCAGTTAGAAGCTAGCAGCTCAGTTAATCGATATCTGTATAATCTACATTCTTTTCACTACATATTTCTAGTATCCAAGATATTTGTGATTGGACTCTTTTACAACGGAAATTTGTACAATTTTTATAAAAGCACCTGAATAGTTTATACGATTAATAGCCATAATGATATATTAAGATAAAGAAAATTAGATAACTTGTTGAAATATCTAGATGCCAGGAACAAGTAGCCCAGATGGTTAAGCAGGCCGCCAATTATTCTTAATTTATCCCTAGAATTCTATAACATTTAAATTCATAACAAGTTTTTATAGTTTGGATTGAAGTAGTTTGAATATAGTATGATTGTAAAATACATTAGTCAAGTTAAAACTAGAATTTATTATTATTTATTTAAATACGTACATATTGTTGCATAGCGGCACCAGATACATATGAGCCACAGTTTATTTGTGTGAGGGCTGTGATACTGCTCAGGTGTCCAGATCAAAACAGGTGGTTTCATTAGGGGGTCATCCCCTCTTGAGCCTTTGACTGAAAGGTCTAACCCACAAGGCAGTGGAGCATCGTAAGCAGATGGAGTCTCATGGTAGCCGGTGACCAACGATTGATTCATACTCCATTTGTTCCATCAGGATACTGGAGCCCATATGCACCATTGGTTTAGAATTAGGGTTTCCCAATTCCCGTAGGTCGAATTTCAGTGTCCACCAACCCGGTGAAAGCGCCGGACATTCGCTTTTCGTCCTGCCACTTTCGTGAACAACACCCGTGATGTGAGAATACAGTGAGTTGGACTTCCCTGGCAGATGCTATATACGCGTGGCCATGTGAGAGCATTTGGAGAGGGAGAGCAGACTCTCACCACTCTCGGCCGTACCAGGGCATTATATTTACACAACTATTCAATTATGTGGCTTTTGACTAAAAGTCCTATGAAACTTCAGATATAATTTGAATGGACTGATGAAACAAAACGGGTTTATTACAGCTAATCATGTCTTGGATAATTTTCAAACAGAAACGATACTACATCCTTCATCTGTCTTATTTAAGTCAAAAGTGGTCTTACAGAATGAAGCCTTTTCTTACGGATAAGCCTTTATCGATTTCGTTTAAACACGTCACATTACACTTCATGAGTAGGTTAAAGAAGAAAAAGTGGAATACACTATGAATTAAGAACTTCAATAAAATGGAAATTCATTTTTATGTCACTGAAATGTTTAACAAATGCATTGCATACATTATCGATCAGTATTAATCATTAGGATGCACGATTACTGTTTCTGGAGTTGTTATTATTTTGAAAAGTATCAAGTTAGTCACAATGAATCGGACATAATTTTTAACAGAATGCATAATGTGTAACAAACATTTTTAAACAATAATGGTACCCTAAGCAAAGATAGATAATATCTAGTAGTGGAATCTAGGACGCGCGTTTTGTCCCATTTCGGACGAGTCAGCTTGATGTACCTGCATCTCGGAGTTAATATTCACCCTGGGACTCGAACCCAGTACCTTTTGCTTCAAAACGGCGAATTTAGCCTATATCGAGGCAATACGAATAGTATGCATATATGCCAATTAGAGACTGACCAGTTGCAGTCCTAAAACATCAATGGGAAGATTCAAACAAACAATACTAAGTTAATACGTTAAACATAGTTTGTAGCATTGATCAGTTGTCTTTCATCTACATCTATTAATGTTTTCAATCAAGTTTTAGCCTATGGTATCATTTTTGTTTTTGGTTATATAATAAAATTGATACATAAAATGTACAAATTTGAAACTTTCTGTTTTCCATATGACAGAATAGAAAAAATAAACAAAATACCATTGTGCTTCTTATAAAATCTTATCAGTATTAGACATTGTAAACTATTCAGAATAGAATATGATTACTTGATACGACTACTAAATATAATCAAATCTTTCTGTTATTTATGTTCAGGACTGAATTTGGATCAATCTCCTATTAGAAGTTGTTTATCCTAAGTCGACTTATACGATATTGCTGTTAAGTACAGCTGTTTAAGTAAAACTGACAATGATAAGTATTAAAACTAATAAATCGCGTTCGATCCTACTTTAGACTCGTCATTTGGATGTATCTCAATGGAGAATTCATTACACACTGACCAGAAAGGTACAAATTCCTGATCTCGGTATAAATACCAGCATTGGTATGCAGGTATATCAAATTGATGAACCCTAAATAGAACGAAATGTGTGTACTAGATTCTACTGTTTTCCATAATTACTCTTCGATTAACTAATCAATTACCTTAAACACATTAAAGAAGAAAACCCTGAAAAACGCGATTATAGAGCTTTCAGATTTGTAATTTAAATAGCATAGAGTTTTGAGTAGACCAACATAAATTTACAGAATGGAATTTTGTGGAGATCTTAGAAAATTTTTTTAGTTGAAATCATGAGTCAATTGAAGTTAGACTACCATGGAAAACCTGGAAGCACTGGACAGCCGTTTCATCTTAATGTACATCCACGCTCTAGCTTCAATTGACTCATGATTTCAACATATATTTGTTTGACAATCTGCTAACGTATATTCATATAAAGAAAAAAAGTTCACCGATACCTTACCCTTTTAACACACCTCAAGTTTTATAGACAGACAATCTCTGATACCTATCTGGCTATAACTCACTTATATC